AAAATTTAAATGTTGTATTTTTTTTCTTACTGTTTCAGAGTTAAAATATATTCAGAACACATTTTTGACCTAAAAAGAAATTGTCATTATTTCTACACAGTTGAAATTTCATTTGTTATTTTCTCTTCAAGCTAAAAATTCACATTACTATTTCAAAGTGATTACATTTTCAATACTTATTTTTCAGTTAAATTTTTTATAAAAAAAATTAAACCTTTCAAAATTTAAACTCAATATTTTCAGCCTCCTGAGATTCAACTGGCTCTATTTCACCGTCTTAAATTCGGCGTCTAAAGCGTCACGTCGTGTGACTAAGAAAACGTAACGGGATTGGCTGGGTGTTGGACGCCACAATCCATTGCTAATGTCTGTGACCTGAAGTAACCCTTCCCTTTTTACACTGAATTTAGACGCCGAATTTAAGACAGTGAAAATAGAGCCAGTTGAATCTCAGGAGGCTGAAAATATTGAGTTTGACTTTTGAAAGGTTGAATTTTTTTATCTGCAGATTTTTTTAACACTGAAAAATTAAACTGAAAAATAAGTATTGAAAATGTAACACTTCAAAATAGTAATGTGAATTTTTAGCTTGAAGAGAAAATAAATGAAATTTCAACTGTGTAGAAATTATGACAATTTCTTTTTAGGTCAAAAATGTGTTCTGAATATATTTTAACTCTGAAACAGTAAGAAAAAAACGTACAACATTTAAATTTCAGTGGCATTTTTAATTCAAATCCCAGCGACACAGATTTACTTCCATAATTAATTGATTCAATGAGAATAATAAAGAGATGAAACCACAGGGTTTCGTCGAACAGTGAGAGCTGTAGCTGCGCACAACAATTGAAAAAATTACAGTGTATACGCCCGGCTTAACAGAATAATGCCGCTGAAAGCGTCCGTTCTGTTTTTATTTAGTTTTTCTTTTTAGATCAATATTCCTCATTAGGTTGGAAACTCTTTTTTTTTGTCATTTTATAAAAATATTTCATCCTCTTTTTGCATATTTTTTTTTTATTTTCAAACCTTGAAGTGGAAATATATCAGTGTTTCCTTAAAAGTAACTCATGGCAGATATTTATCAATAATCCTGATTTCTGGTTTTTAAAACGGTTTTATTTATGAAATGATTTATGAATGATGGTCTGCAGAAGCCTGGACTAGAAGGACATTTGATAATTAAGGTCAAATGTTAATCCTCTTTAAGTTAACAATCAAAATATATCTAGACGCCTTCGGTTTAACATTTACTTTTAATGCATCATGAGAAAAAAAACTGCTTAAAAAAAAACATAAATGAGGGGAAAAGATCTTTTTGCAGAGAAACGTATAAAGACAAAGACGTCCCGTTATTTCAGTAACAGTTTGTAATCCTAATTGGACCCGAGCAGCAGGACTTGGTTCTGGTCGCCTCCTTACAGCTGTGATGATGTGTCTCTGTGTGCAGAACGAGACGTTCCTGTGTCACCGGTTCACGCGCTTCGTGATGAAGTACAACCTGATGTCCAAGGACAACCTGATAGTTCCCATCCTGGAGGAGGAAGTCCAAAACACCTCATCGGCTGGCGAGAGCGAGGCCTAACGGCGGCGGCCGGAGGGGAGGCGCGCGTACGCTCACCATATCTATACAGTACCGAGGAGACGCACTCATTCTGCATAAATATCTATGAATATATGTATAGACACACTACAGTGTATTGAGACTCCTCGTCTGCAGACACTGTCCTCGTCCCCGCCCCCCCCCAGCGTCTGTCTGAAGGGAAGTTAAGCTACCAGGAGCAGGCTAGCATCCATATTATCGGTTTATGTTCCGCTTTTCACGTTTCTGACCCGCTTTGTCCGCCTGGTTCAAACCCCGCCCCCCCCGATCAGGTCCCAGATTTTAGCCGTTAGCTTCTCCAGCCGGCTGGTTACACAGAAACCCGGCTGGCTCCACTGACCTGCTCCTCGCTCCGGACATGGTGGCTTTTTCCTTTTTTAAGCAGTTGGATTCGCCTCAGTTTATAAGTGACTTGCATTAATTCCCCCCCCCCTCTGTATATACAGTCCAGTTCTCTTCCTGCTTCTCTTGTGTTGCTGGGCTTTCTGCTTTGGGTCGGGGTCGCTCTGTGAATGGGAGGGGTTCGTTTTCCTGCTCTGAAACAAACGTAGATGTGATGCTTGTGTGGTAGTGAGCGAACCTTCACCTTGTAGCTCCGTCTGTGAACTAGCAGTGAGATGTTCTTTAGAACGGCTTCTTATCGGACCCCCCACCCCCCCCCGCCCTCGAATCGTGCGCCGCTGCAGGAGCAGCCCGTTTTTAAACGGGGGTCATCATGAGCGCCGTGCTGAAGGAGGAGCATCGGCAGCATGAGGCGTCAGAGCACAACCCACTTCCTGCCTTCTTTAACCCTCTTCCTCGTTAAATTATTGTGTGTGTGGGGTGGGGGGGGGGTTTCCTTGGTCCAACCCACTGTTTGTTTTTTAAATGGACTAAAAATTTTGTTACTGTTGACATTTTCATGATGTCTGTTAATAAAAAATGAGCTATTATTCATACGGTCGTGTGGCTTTTCACTGACGCACCAACAGATTCTGCAAACAACCAGAAAACTTGTTAGCATCTTAGTTTTATTGCTGTTTATCAGACATGATAAACGCAGACGCCTCATTGGATGCTGGCCCACACGCCTAGAGGGCAGCCATCTTGAATCAGACCACTGCTGTCAGGATGAATATTAATCACATGGAAGACGAGTCGGAGATAATATTACAATCTCTTACATTTCACCACTTAAAACTAATTCTAACATATAAATATATAAATGACACATTAACTGATTAAAGAACAAATCTTCACATAAATGATAAAAAAATCACTTTGAAAAGTTGACACTAGTCATGACAATAAAAAAAATTAAATAACTTCTCTTTTGTAAATCACAAACGCATTTTCTGGTATAGATCAGAATACTTATCAAAGAGCAATCCTTAAAAATAATGAATCAAACTATATAAATATTTGTAATACAATCATATTAATATTTAATATCTTTAAATAGTTAAAATCATTTTCAATCTGAATGTTTAATCTAAAGGTAATTTTAAATTTAGTTTTGGTCTTTTAAGCGGTGAAATGTCAGATTATTGTTTAAGGAAGAAGAAACGGGGAAATAAATGGATTATAGAGGAGAAGCTTGAGCTGGAAGCATCTTCCTGAAGCTCCAGAATGAATGTTTAAAGTATTCACACCCAATGAACCTTTTTACGTTTAATCAGGTTTTAATATGCTGATGCTTTATTGGCATTTTATGTAATGAAATATCACAAGTTTAATTGGTAACAATCAGTGTGATGAAGAGCAGGTTAGAGCAACCAGGCTGAGCGTCTTCCAGAGAGACACATGGACGTTACTCTGGAGGAGCTGCTGAGATCCATGGCTCCTGTGGGACAAGATGTGGACGGCACCTCTATTAGAGGAGCTGAACGCTTCATGAATCTGGTCTATATGGAAGAGAGACGGAAAAAAACGAAATCTTTTGTTTACAGTTTGTTGTTTTCTGGTGAAGATTCTCAGTCATCCAGGTCAGAGTCATTCCAAAAAAAGTTAAAAACAATCCCCTGGACTTTGTTTCCAATTTTGAAGATGTTTCGCTTCCCATCCAGGAAGCTCTTTCAACAACAAAAAAATAAAATAAAAATAAAATATATATACATATATATATATATATATATATTGGAAAAAGCTTCCTGGATGGGAAGCAAAACATCTTCAAACTCGGAAACAAAGTCCAGTGGATTGTTTTTAACTTTTTTGGATTTACAGTTTGTTACAAACCATGGAGAAGAAACAGATCTGGCCTACATCCATGTTTTTTAACCTAAACACAATGTGTGATGTTGACGATACCCTGATCACACTGTAAAATATGGCAGTGGCTGCATGATGCTGTGGGATGCTGGACAGGAATGGGTTGGAGGTTTATATTCCAGCAGCTAGAGCTGTGAGACAGGAGAGAATGGCCTAGTCAAAGTTCAGATGAGGAAACCTGTGGCAAGACAAATTATTTCTTCTTTTTTAAGAAATAAAGAGGAAAAAAAGGAAAGGGAGGAAAAGTAAGAAGAGAAAGTAGAAAAGGGAAAAATAATAATAGCAACAAAAAACAATATAGAAAAAAAAATACAAAAGAAAGATGAAAGTGAAAAAATGAAAATGGAAAAAACCCAGAAAAAGGGAAAAGCTTAAAAGCAAAAAAAACCAAACGCTTTTAATCTGAGATATTCTGCAAGGATCCCTCTATTCTTTAAATCTTCAAAGCGGCTTCAGTCTGCAGCGATACGCCCAGCGAGGAGGCAGAGGGACTGAAAATAGATCCACATCACATAGAATACATTAAATCAGGTCCTTGTAAAAGGACATGTGTGAAGTTCCAGTGGGATCCTTGTTTTAAGGCAGAGAGAATCCAGAATGGAAGAACATCATAATCAGACAAAGCCTGATCTTAGCCCTAATATTCAAACATTTCTGCAACAACAATGTTTTTTTTTAGTTTTCACTAAATAGTTTTCAGTGGATAACAATAATGGAGGCTGGAAAATTGGCCCTTAAAATAGATCAGTTTCTTATATTAGAGGAAGTTGATCTCCTGATGAGGAGCCGCTACTGTTTGAGGCGCCAAACGTCTTCAGACTGCAGGAGGTTTGTGGAAAAACGCTGAAAGGTAAAGATGGAGAATCCGATCTGTCAGGAGACGCAGCAGCTTTTCCTTCTCATCATCAGACCCGAATAAAAAGCTTTATGGCTTCATCAGAACAAAAGTCCAGTCTCCTCTGGGTCTCACATGCAGGTGACCTCCGCCTTCCCCTCCTCCTGCTCAAGGCCCCCCTCCTCCAGGTGGGACAGGGAGCTGGAGAAGCCGCCCCCGAACACCGGGAAGCCCCCGATGCCCCCCGCGGTGGGGGAGAGGTCGTCTGTAGGGGCGGAGCGGCTCGACACGTCGCTGTGCGCCAAAGCCGTCTGTAGAGACAGAAGAAAATAAAAAAGTAAATATTTGGTCTTATTGACGCTACATTTCCTAAAAAAAGGAAAACTTTTCTTTAATGAAGCGTATTTAGGCTAATTTAAGTTAGCTTAAACAGTAGTAAAATATGTCAGTGAAATAAGATAATTTTTTTTATTTTAGATAAGAAAAAAAACAATTTTATTATTTAGGGGTCAAAATACTGTATCTGTCCCATCAGCAGATAATTTTTACATACCTGCTCAAATGAAGGTTACTATTTTTTTTTTTTCTTCAGATACTACATTTGCTTTTCAGACTGTTTCAGATCAAACTCCTTTTAATCCTAACATAACCTGAGAACATCGCAGTAAAATGATCCAAAGCACAACAGCAAGTCTGAGAGGATAAAAACTAGTCCAAGTCTAGACTTCAATCTGACTGAGACGGCATAGAGGACGATCTTTTATTTCCAGGTGGATCATCTTAATAAGTGGTCCTCCTAACTGTCAATCATTCTAGTGATATGTTTACGTGTTCGTCCCGTTAGCTATATTTTTCTGCGCCCTTTCGGGCGTATATCTGCGGTGAGCTACGGTTTCAGACGGTCATTGAAGCTCTCCTTTGTCACCGCGGTTCTTTGAAAATGGCCGAGGGTCGGAA